CCCCAAAACCCCAAAACCCCAAAACCCCAAAACCCCAAAACCCCTACAAAGCTTTAGATTTTGAATTATAAATATAATATTGCCGCCATTTAAAAATGTATCACACAGAAGGATCAACCATGAATTTATTGTCAACAAATGCTACTACCCCAAATAAGATATATCAAGATCATAATGATGATGAATGAGGTCATAAATGACTTGTCAAAAGCCATAGACAGCTAAATTGACAAGAATGAGGGTTATACATCCCACAAATGAAGTGCGGAGTCCAAGTGTACACTCTAAGAGACCCTAAGACTAGCTTTTACGCAGAAATTGAGTTAGGAGATGCACTTGATCAGATGAAAACTATCATGGATATTAATCGGGTTTACAACCCTAAGCCTAATTACCTCAAATACAGAAGATTTGTAGTCGACTGGATGTGAGAAATCGGAGAGACTATCAAATTATCCTTCACAACTATTCATCATGCCACTGCATTAATGGATACTTTCTTCTCCAGAGTAAAGGACATGGAAACTTCTAAAGAAGGCAAAGAGTTCCTTCAGTTAGTAGCATTAACAAGTATCTTTATTAGCGCGAAATTCTGCGAAAAGGACTCTAGAGGCCCAACAGCATGCAATATTGCTCACTTGACTAGAGGACAATACTCAGAGAAGCAGATCTTAAACTGAGAAAGAGACATGTTGATGGTGAACCACTGGCTGCTGCACTTTGCGACCCCTGCAGACTTCCTCCTCCTCTTCCTCAATCAAGGAGTTGTCTATTCCAATGACGAAATCCTGGAAGATAGAGATTCTGATAGTGGAGAGAAGGTCTCAATTGAAACCGCAAAATATGTTAAAGGTTATGCTGAGTTCTTTGTAGACCTCTGTCTTCAGGAATATGAGTTTCAGAAATATGACTCCCATACCATTGCCTGAGCTGTAATCCTTGCGTCCAGGAGGGTTGTTAAAATGAGGAAGGTTTGGAACTCAGAATTTGATCAACTTTTTGATGCTGATAGAAAGGAGGTTGAGCTATGTGCAAGAGAGATCTATAAGTTCTATCTTGCATCATTTCCTCAAAATCGGTCTTCAGACAGTAGCAAGAAAAGTTCCAAGTCAGGTAGGAAAAGTTTAAAGAATGAAGAGAAGCATAAATCCCGGAAATCATGCAATGCTTCAAAGAAGAAAACTGAGAAAACAGCGACTATAAGACAGAGGTCTAATAGTATCAAACAACATTTATGAAGGATCGATTCGAAGCCCTCCACTGCTACTAAATCGAGGGCATACTGTAAGAAGCCCTCAATTCCTGAAAGGAGTAAGGAGAGAGTTCCGATGACAAGAGTGGCTAGCTACTGAAAGGGGTATTCTAAGACTCTAAGAGAGAAATCTCTAAATGGTTCTGTAGATTCTCCTGATAAGCAACTGGCAACTGGAAATAGCTTATATAAAAATTCTTCATCTAAGAATAAGTCTTCACTCAGAATGTACAAAGCTACTGACATAAAGAGGTCTGGAATCCCTCGGCCGGCTCTCTATTCAAACACCAGAAGGAATGACTCCGTGTCTAGAAATGGTAAAATGGACAAAAAGAGATCAGGAAAGCTAAATTTCTCCTCTTCAAGTTTAGAGAAAAGGTAAGTTCTTCATTCTTGGCTTCTTTGAATTTCTGACAATAAGCTCACCGAGATATTATAGTTCTAAGACTTCTTGAAATCCAAATACTTCATCTTACAAGAAAATCTCCCAGATTGCTTCTTATTCCAACATGGCCCTAAGCCGGGATAAGAGAGCTACTGGGGACATTCTCAAGAAATACAGGCCTAGCCTGAAGGTTAAGATGAGCAAATCTAAGATTTACTCTACCATTGACACTCAAAATAATTTGACAAGGACAAATTCTTCCTTTAGGTAGGTTAATTTTCAACTTTAAAATTATCAATATTTTTGATTATTCCCAAGAATTTTAGTTTTAAAGCATGCAAATCCATGCTAAATCTCCCTCAAACTTTTATGGTTTGCATTTTTGATTCATTGATCACCTAATCAGTGTCTTACAATGCCGATAGGATTATTAATTCAAAATCCAGAAACCCCTCTCAAAGAAAGATAGCTGATAACTCAAAGAACTTCAGATCTATGAGTAACCTAAAGCTAGCGATGAACAAACCTGTCACTCACCACAACTCAAGCATGACTCGATGTAAGAACTCAGGAGGGAGGCTGAATATAGACAGTATTAGCCATAACAGGTCTTATGGAAGACACTACCCAGATACTCTACAATAATTCTACATAACACTTATTTCGTAAAACCAGCAAAACTTGTTGTTCGTGACTCTAATACCCAGTCAGAATACTCTCTAGCTAGCCCTAGGCTAGCTAGGGTCACTTCTACAGGGAAATCTAGGCTGCACAAGGAGTTTCCATAGTTTATATAATAATTTCTCTCTGTTTCTACCTAGTTTCTAAATCACGGGGTTTTGGGGTTTTGGGGTTTTGGGGTTTTGGGG